GATTAACATCTCGAGTTCTTATGCACAGTAGAATTGTAATTGTAAATGGACTGATTCATAAATGTCATGCTCATAACTGTGCCTGAACTGCAACAGGGAACTGCTGCTTTTTCTTTCCTAATCCTCACTATCGTCATTTTTCCTCTACTTCTTTTGTATGTTTGTCACACTCTTGTGCCTTGATAGTCGAAGCAGACTTTGTGCTGTTGAAGCTAGGGAGGTGAGCAGAGTAAGTCTTTTTCCCTGTAAGGACTTCTCTGTTGACATCCACCCCTTGGTGCTCATATGGCAGTTGCGACCGCCGTAAAACCTCTACTAAAACAAACAAAACAAAGCATAGAGACGGGTCAATGAGAAAGTTGAGGGCAAAAGCAAATTACCGAGTAGGTAGCTCTAAGCCTTACTATACAGGAATGTTTGGCCAACATAGGGGCCATATAGGATACCCTCACTAATAAATGGACGCCAGGACTCCAGAAAACACATAACGAACTCATCGAGGCCAGAGAAGAAGCCAAATCACATCCACGGATAGAAAACAACAACAACAAGCTACAGAGGTGTAAAGCCCACTATCTCAAAACCAAGCTGGGATGCACCGGGAAAAGCTGGAGAGACAAAACACAGAAACTTAACTTGGAAAAGGACACCACAAAACTATGGACGCTTGTAAAGGAGTAAACGACGAAGGAAATGAAAGTGCCAAGATCACCCTAGAAGTTGAAGGAGAGATGGAAATGGAGAAAAGGGCAGCACATACCTTTGGAAAAGCATAATATGCTCAAGAAAGCAACATCAAAATACCTAGACAGAGACAAACAGAAGTCAGACAAGAGGAAAGAAGGAAAAGAAGTACAAAAAACATTCCGGAAGCAATGAAGAAAGACATCACCATGGAAGAGCTGAAGAAAAGAATAAATCACCTAAAGCAAAGAAAATCACAAGGCCACAATGAAATTACAAATGAAACGTTTCAACACCTGGGCAACACAGCCTTACAGACTTAACTGGATATATTCAACTTAAGCTGGAAAAATGGGCAAGTACCCCAGTGCTGGAAGGAAGCAACGATGATCCCGATCCTCAAGCCAGGGAAAAGTAAGGCACAACCATTAAGCATAATAGACCTATCAGCCTCACAAGCTGTGTATGTAAGACAATGGAGCGCATCATAGCTTGCAGAATGCAGTGGTACCTAGAGGCACAACACATCCTTGTACCAAAACAAGCTGGATTTCGTCAGTTCAGGAGCACAGAGCACCAAACAACTTACTTGTCCCAAGTTATAGAGGACTCCTTCCAGGCACAGAAAGTGATGCTAGCAACATTTATTGATCTACAGAAAGTATTTCCCAAGTTTTAGAATGAGGGTCTACTAGTGAAAGAGGAGGAGCTGGAGTGTATGTACAGTTCCCAAATGGACTACGACAAGCAGAGGCAATCCCAACAGGGCGACATTGTACAAACTACAGGGCAGAGACGGAGGCTCTAATGCATGCAACAAACATCATCAAGAATGTGGTAGACCGCCAAAGCCAAGTAGTATTCCAAACTGACGCCATGTCATTACTGCAGGCAATCACTGCTGGCAAACTACCAAGGCTCCGAGAAGTAATTGAGGACATCCCATGTCTGAGGATCATGCTGCAGTGGATTCCATCACACTGTGGTGTTTTAGGAAATGAGAAGACAGACAGGATGGCCAACCTAGGAGCACAGAAAGAGCAACCAGACAACAGCATTAACTGCACAGAAATAAAAATTATTATAAATACCCTATTTAAAGCACCACAGACACCATATAGCTACCATGAGCTGCCCCGCCAAGAACAGGTGATTATCTTTCGACTAAGAACCCAACACACAAGACTGAGACAACATATGTACAGATGTTTTAAACTAGCACACTCACCAAAATGTCAGTGTGGAGAGGCCGACCAAACTGTTGAATACATCCTTCAGCACTGCAAGACACACAGGACCCTGAGACAGGAAACGTGGCCAACCTCACTGACACTACAAGAGAAGCTATAAAGGCCGACAGATGAACTGAGCAGGACGGCCCAATTTATGACAGATACCAGACTTCAAGTGTGATGCGATCGAGAAGAAGAAGAAATGGTCATTTGGTGTTTGTTTTTTTCAGTTCAAACGTCGACATCTTCAGTGGTATGGAGAGACATCTCTAGCAAATTATGTTCTTACACTGGTTCAGTTAACTCTCCTAGCATGGACGTTGTTCATGGGGAATAAGAAATCGTTATCATTATTAGTGTTATGGTTATTATTAATTTCATTATCATCATTATTATCATCATCACTATTATCATCATCACTATTAACATTACCATTATCATTATTATCATCATCATTATCATTATCATTATATTATCATCATTATTAGTATTATTACCGCAAACTTTAATGACAGGTGTTCGTTTATTTCATCAGTTCAAACGTCGAAAGCTTCTGTGGCATGGACCACACTCTCTCCCAATAAATGTTCGTCCGCTGGTTACACTGGCTTGGCTTGGACTTTGCAGACGGAGAACGGAAAACAAGTTGCCGAATGCTCCGTACATAATTCGCGTAGCGACTGTACGTACTGCAACGTATATGGAGAGTTTCTGTCCTTAATCTCTGTAAAGACAATAAACTGGCAGACTACACTCACCTGGAAAGGAGAATGGACCCTTGAAATGCATCGTACGTGTTGTCTGGTCATCATCATCATCATCATCATCATCATCATCATCATCATCATCATCATCATCATTGTATAAAGAAGGTATTAAAACAGTTAAGACCTTGTTGTATTTCCAAAAATATATATTTTTCACAGTTCAACGTTCCGCCAATAAGGCTTCATCAGGAACAATCATCATCATCATCATCATCATCATCATCATCATCATCATCATCATCATCATCATCATCATCATCATCATCATCATCATCATCATCAAAGTGCCAGATCAGCGACAGACACCGGTGAATGTGGTTCGCTATTCAGTCCCATGCTCGGATAAATGTTATCCTGATCTTTCCCCTCACCCATCTGTTTAAGCTTTCCAAGTAAGTTGCACTGGGTGTACCCCTGCATCTTACTTACTTTACTTTACTTTACTTTACCCTTCCTCTTGTACCTCCAGAGCGTCGAGGGGAGTCGCAGCTTTCTTAATTTCTATCTCTAGCAAGCTGGATGGCCTTGCTGAGGGGGGGGGGGATGTTGTGTGTTTTCAGGGTATCCTACACACCCTCGAGGAAGGTCTACCTTGGTCTTCCTCTCGCCTTTTACCCTGATATTCTTCTTTAGTACGCTTTACTGGCAAGCTGGTCAGGTGAGATGTCCAAACCACCTGACTGTTAGCCTCTAGACATAGTGGAGGACAGGTGTTGTTCCCATTATTTCTCTGATCCTGTTGTTTCTGACCAAATGCCATCGGGCATCATATACTTTCACATTTACCAGAGACAGCAAGATGTTCCAGGCCTATATGTCTATTTAAGTGTCCAAGAAACAGCATTGATTTGTTCATTTCTCACTATTTTTATCAGCAAGCCGTACACGTAGACTTCTTTAAGCACTAGCTCATTTGATTTATTTTCTTTCTGTCAAAGAAATTATCAGCTAGCTCCCCAATACAATACACATGTAATTTAATTTCAAATTAAGATTTATTTTAAATTCAATGATGATGATGATGATGATGATGATGATGATGATGATGATGATGATGATGATAAAGATGATGATGATGATAATAATAATAATGAAAATAGTAAATTATTATTATTATTATGAATAAAGAAATAAACAATAAATAAATAAATAAATAAATTTAAATAAATAAATAAATAAATGAATTTGAATAAATAAAAACAAATGAAAAAAAAACAACAACAAAACACCAACAGCTTTTTACCTTTGTTTGAGTATCCAGATCCTGACCAGAGTGCGTTTTATCAACAAAGCAATGATGGAGTGCCCATTGTGGTAGCAGCTGCTGCAGCCTCCGGAGCACTTGTCCTGGGCGTGGTCATCACAGTGCTTGTGTGTTGCTGCCTGGTGAGGAAAGGTGAGACGATGTAAATGTAATTGCCAAATGTACGTGTGTAGTAGTAGTAGTAGTAGTAGTAGTAGTAGTAGTAGTAGTAGCAGTAGTAGTAGTAGTAGTAGTAGTAGTAGTAGTAGTAGTAGTAGTAGTAGTAGTAAAAGGAAAACAATCGGTATTTTGAAAACTTATGTCAAAGTTTCTGCATAGATATCGTATAATAAAGGAGTTCCACTCCCTTTTAACCTCACTAGTAAGTTATGAAATGTGTTTCTTAGAATTAGATTAAATCGATATCTTGTTGTGTTCTGTCTCCCTTGGGCGACTCCACCAACTCATCATCAAGTGCCAGACCTGCGGCAGACACCGGCGATCATGGTTCTCCTTTCATTCTCTTGCTTGGACGCTCTTAAAAACGTTACATTGTCCTGGCCTCTCCAAGTTACCCATCTGTTTAGGTTCTCTAAGTAGGTTGCTCTGGGCCTACCCCTGCCACGTTTGCCTTCAATTTTGCCAGTGAGAGCTAGATGTCCAAGACCTTTATGTCTCTTCAGGTGTCCCAAAAATTGCATTAATTTGGTCTTTTCCTTATAGTTTTTAACAGTGAGCGTCGATCCATCAAGGACTACCTCATTTGATTTCTTTTCCTTTCGCGATATTCTCAGCAGTCTCCCCCGAAACCACATTTCTGTTGCTTCTATTTAATTTTCATTGTTGTTTGTGATTATCCAGCACTATCAACTCATTGCCAGAAAGTTCCTTATTTGAAAATCTTTTCCTTTCCCAGACTGTTTCATCAACAAAAGTGCCAAGTAAGTATAAAGTAGTCAAAATTAGACTGACAAGAATAATTGAGATATAATTAACTATCCAAGAAAAGTACTTGAATTATGTTGAGCTGTACTTTTCAATCTTCATAATAATCCTTCTTTCCTATTAAACATCTATCTCCTTATATTGTCTTCGTTACTTTTTTTGGTAACACCTCTAATCTTGGGAACTTAAATAAATAAAATTATCCTGCCTCAGGTGCCGCCAAACTCGTGCGAAAACTTAGGTATAATCATTTAATTAACGATTACGCAATCTTTTTCTTTTTTAACCCTTTATCGTCCTTCTAGAGACAAAGACGGTTATGACAAAACAAAACAAAAAACCCAACCATTGTGAATATCTGCATACTCCGACAGCAGCATCTTGGGCTCACTAGACAATATTATTCCATGAAGGATGACACACGTTTGGTATCAATTGGGTCATAAACGAGAATGTTATTAACATAAAGTTTGGGGAAAAACAATTTCAAAGCCTGGATCCTATTATGGAAAGTTAAATTCAAAAGTCAGTTCATAAAACCAGCTTTGAACGCTGTAAGCGTCGTCTTGCATTGGCACTGTTCTGAACCAGCATCTGTTAAACCAAGATTTAAAATGTTTTTGACACTCAGTATTTGTTTTGTTTGTTTTTGTAAAGTGTTTTACGGCGCTCGCAACTGCATAAGGTCATATGAGCGCGCGGGACACACCTAATATTTTCAGTTGGTAGGACATTTTGAA